GATGTCAGGGCAGATAAAATGCATGACCTCAACGGATGAGAGTAAAATAATGAATGAAGCTTTCCGAAAGAACAGTGGAGTTTTATACTCGCAGCGAGGACGCCGTTGGGTCGCCCTGCAGTCGCCGTGGGAACGCCATGCACGCGGTAAGGTCGTGGTAGAAACGCTAAGAACGCAGTGGGGTCGCAGTGGGGTCGCCGCTGATCGCCGTATGGACGCCGCAGTGACGCCGTGTAAACTCAATAGAAACTCCAAGGACGCAGTAAGAACGCGGTAAGGTCGTGTTGGGAACGCCGTGTACATACACAGATCGCAGAGCACAGAACTCCGGTGTGACGGCTGACTCGAAATCTGGATTTATTTTTGAAAAATCATTGGCGTTCTCAATGAGACCATCGGCGTTCTCCAAAATATGACAGTTTAGGACGCGGTAAGGACGCCAGTCCGGTGTGACGGCAGTATTATGCACAAACAATATATGTATTAAACCGTGTTCATTGTTTGTGTATCAAGTATAAAAGTTTGATATTTCACATTTCCAAACTGATAAATCTTATGTAAACCCAGCAATAAATGTTTTATTCTATAAAAAAATGTTATCATTTGCCTCTTAAACTGTCGTACAACACAACGACTGCTTACTGCACGTGCATGATGTTCAATATCAAGTGAGAATACTTAGACCGTTTATGATAAGTATTGAAACTAATTAAGTATTATGCTATTCATATTTCCTAAATTAGACTCAGTTAGAAATCGAATATTTGCGTTTAAATGATGTAAATACTGAATGCGGAACAATAAAATGAAATTTCCAGACTGACGGCGTAATATGACTCTCTAGAGTGGACACTTCGAAAACCGACATTGTCCACTCATAGCACTTGACCGAAGATCGCAGCTAAGCATCATAATATTTCATGAGGACACTCCAGTGTTACTTAACGATATACTTGAGAACCTACATGATCGGAATTCGGAGAATTGTCACCTTAATGAAAAAGAAACCATGTAAATGGACCTGTTTAATTATGTGTTACTCTGATGTTTCGGAAATAACAAGGTACTCTGATTGTCACATTTAGTTCTCTGTTGCCCAGATAATATATTCCTGAAATAAATGTTATGTGAGGGAATAAGTTACCAAGGAAGCAAATCATATTTTATTTTATTTTTTGTAATATTTTGTANTTCAAGGAGTTTTACATATAAGTATTTAGAAGTACACGTTTATATAAGAAAATTTGATAGTTATTTGTTCATATTTTGGCAAAGACAGGGTTTAAGCAATATTAATTAGACTTTCCCATTTTTTCCATTCAGTATTGAATTTCAATGAAAATAATTCACTTTTATTAACAGCAATATATCTCTGAGTAAAATATTTGTCCTTGATAAGGTTCTTAAGTGCAGCTACTGACAATGACATTTGTAAACATCTCGATTTATAAATATATTGTTTTATAAGTAAAATTATGGTATTATCTACCCTTCTACTGATACTATTTTGATTAAATAAACCGAAAATGAATGTTTCCTTGTTAAGGTAGCAGTATACAGTAGAAATGGCCCGACTCTGATAAACAAGGCACATGTCGAGGAAATGTAAACACAGCGGATTTACCCTACACAACACATGTATACATGTATATATATTTGTAAACTGCATTACATTTACAATACATATAAAGTACTGAGAAGTGTATTAACATCTTTTTTCTATGTATGTCACTTTTGTGAAAACCATGGTTACCACATCAAAAATTACCAAAAAATGCCAAAAATTGCTATTTTTAACCCAAAATTTGACCCCCGCAACTAGTATCTTTTTTCCTCAGATCTGTCTGAAATTAAAGATTAGCTTCCTGGTTACAGAATTATCTGGGTCCCAGTAAAGTTGTAAAACTTGATTTTTTGCAATTTTGCGTCGTGTGCTGTTGTCAAAATTTTACCTCCTGTAAAGCTAGCTTTTTTCATGTGTACGCACCCTTTCGGATTATGGCCAAAATTTTATTCTCGAACCAAAAAAATCTTCTTTCTTTTTTACAAATGTGAAGCTCACATAGCCCACTTCATCATGCTTATACCAATTTTAGTACAGTTTTGTTTTTATATTTTTTTTACATTTCATTATACAGGAGTTAGCCATTTAACAAAAAGATCACCCATGGCCACAACCCTCTACTGTATACTGCTGCCTAAAATCAAATGGGATTAACAATGCATCAAGAAGGAATTCAAAATTTTGTAAAAAGTCTTGTACTTTCTCACATTCCCATAGTGTGTGAATTATTGTCTCTATTTCAGTCTTACATTGAAAACAAAGAGCACTATCGGTAAGAGCTGCTTTAACTAGATAAGAGTTTGTTGTTAAAATGTGTTGATTTATTCTGTATTGAAGCCATTGTAATTTTGAATTTCTAGTTACTGTAAAAGGAATCATATATATCATTTTCCATGTGTCATCATCGAATTCAAACAATTCATTCCATTTGTTTTTCCCAGTGGATATGGTACTATTTTGGCACAACAACTTATACAAATATTGAGTTCCTTTTTTTATGCCTCATAAATATTTCTAAATTTAAGGGTATGTATGGACAGCTAATCAAAGTATTCAAAGTATCATCATTGGACATGTAGTTTTTTATAGTATTAATAATACCTTGATATGTGAGAAAGTTAGTTTTTACATCAAATTTTTGTGTAAATTCTATAAAACTATAGAAAATACCAGAGTTATTATCTTTTAATAAGTCATTTATAATTATAACACCCTTTTCAAACCATTGCTTATAAAATAAACACTTGGCTCCTACTGTAAAATATTTGTTATACCAAATAGGCATTTTCAATCTACTTTTCATCTCTCTCATACAATCTTCTTTATCAGCTATTTTTCTCCATGATTGGAATACATCTTTCCAAAAAAGGTTTTTACAATTGCCTTGAATAATCGATAAGTATTCTGAACCACAATTAAATGAAATGTCCTTTTTAAGGAAGCAAATCTTAATATTAGTTTCAGGTTGCGTTAATATCTAACAAGAGATTAACTTCAAACTTGTTTCAAGCAAAGCCATCTATTACCAAAGAAATAAATCCTAGTATTTGTTTCAGGCTGGGTAATCTGTAACCAAGGGAACATCTTAGTATGTATTTCAGGCTGGGTCATCTGTTATTAAGGGAACATTTTAATATTTATGTCAGACTGAATCATCTGTCACCAAGGGAACATTTTATATTTGCTTCAGACTGAATCATCTGTTACCAAGGGAACATCTTAATATTTATTTCAGGCTGAGTCATCTGTCACCAAGGGAACATCTTAATATGAATTTCAGGCTGGGTCAGCTGTTACCAAGGTAACATCTTAATATTTATTTCAGACTGAATCATCTGTCACCAAGGTAACATCTTAATATTTATTCCAGACTGAATCATCTGTCACCAAGGGAACATCTTAATGTTTTTTTCAGACTTAATCATCTGTTACCAAGGGAACATTTTAATATCTATTTCGGACTGAATCATCTGTTACCAAGGGAACATCTTAGTATGTATTTCAGGCTGACTCATCTGTTACCAAGGTAACATTTTAATATTTATTTCAGACTGAATCATATCTTACCAAGGGAACATTTTAATATTTGTTTCAGACTGAATCATCTGTCACCAAGGGAACATTTTAATATGTATTTCAGACTGAATCATCTGTCACCAAGGGAACATTTTATATTTGTTTCAGACTGAATCATCTGTTACCAAGGGAACATCTTAATATTCATTTCAGGCTGAGTCATCTGTCACCAAGGGAACATGTTAATATGAATTTCAGGCTGGGTCAGCTGTTACCAAGGTAACATCTTAATATTTATTTCAGACTGAATCATCTGTCACCAAGGGAACATCTTAATGTTTTTTTCAGACTTAATCATCTGTTACCAAGGGAACATTTTAATATCTATTTCAGACTGAATCATCTGTTACCAAGGGAACATTTTGATATTTGTTTCAGACTGAATCATCTGTTACCAAGGGAACATCTTAGTATGTATTTCAGGCTGACTCATCTGTTACCAAGGGAACATTTTAATATTTGTTTCAGACTGAATCATCTGTTACCAAGGGAACATTTTAATATCTATTTCAGACTGAATCATCTGTTACCAAGGGAACATCTTAGTATGTATTTCAGACTGAGTCATATGTTACCAAGGGAACATTTTGATATTTGTTTCAGACTGAATCATCTGTCACCAAGGAAACATCTTAATATTTATTTCAGACTGAATCATCTGTTACCAAGGTAACATTTTAATATGTATTTCAGACTGGGTCATCTGTTACCAAGGTAGCATCTAAATGTTTGTTTCAGATTGAGTCATCTGTTACTAAGTGAACAACTGCGTACGTATTTTGTCAGTTGCGGTTGCAAGGACAATTTAGTTTCTTGCGAGTCCTATTCGGTCGTAGGTTACAACAGTTACATATATTAACAAAGGCGATAGTGAGGAAGCGAATAACTGCAAACTTTGATGGTCAAATTTGCAAATCTGTTACCAAGGGAACAAGTTCTTATTAAGTCGGTCATATGATATCCAGTGAGTAAAAACAGTATTGCTTATAATTTGAACACCTATGTCTATTTGTATTTTTGCATTCATTTTTTTTTATAATTTTATTATTTATTTTTATATACATATTTTTTTAACACAAATATATATCTTTCTTTTTTGTTTTGAGAGGGGAGGGGGAGGGGGGAGAGGGTCGTACCGTGTGTGTGTGTGTGTGTGAGAGAGAGAGGTATGCGTACAATTTAAATCATATCTTGCATTGTACATTTTATTGACAGATAAATATGGTCCCATCTCGTGACCCAACTTCGTCGTAAACCACTTATAGTCCTTGAGAGAAAGTTGATTTTCAAATGTGCGTTGAACTTCATGTCAAGCAGTTGGTCGTTAACGGATGTTGTTTAAGAGACAATCTCGTTAGCAGTATTATATATACAATAGGCCCTATGTTAATAAAATATAGATACACTCATTCTCCAGCACACGCCAGTCTGTGTCTCCATGCTCGAATCTTCGGACGTGAAGGTATGTACGCATGTATACTGTGTTCAGTGGTGGATATGGGAAGGGACGGGGAATTTAATATGTTTTGGGGTCACGGAGTACTGGATGGTAAATGACAAGGTCGGGAAGGGATTTGTCCCTCCTTTTGGGGCGTTAATGCTTCTTTTACATGTAAAATGACGGGTTTTGCTCGTTTTCTCGGAAAAATTGTCACCCTCCTTTTCAAATATTATTAACTGCCATTAATGCTTCTTAATGACGTCTGTCGGATATTTTCTCGAAAATTGAGACCCCTCATATCAAATGTTAAGGATTTTTTTTAGTCTATGACACAAATTGTTTTTATTCTGATAATTTTCAACAAGTTTGACATACTAAAGTTCAGTCTAGAATTAAGTATGTCTACAAAGATTGCATATTACATAATATATTGCTGTCTGTCTGTGTCACAAATTCAAGTTCAAGATAACTTTCGAATGAATGAAGTGATGAAACTTGGTGAGTATTAACAAATAACCTGGCACATGTCTGATATTCGACCAAATGTGTGCATACTTGAGGATCCCTGTCCCACTGAACTGTGTTTTCCTATATACAGTAACCTCCCCTTAACTTCTGTTTAGATCGTATGACCAGGTAGCTCTATCGGTAAGAGCGATCGTATGACAAGGTGAAATCCAGGGTTCGAATCCCGGTCTAGCCCTGCTGAGATTTTACACTCAAAACACTGCTGTCGATTATATTTTGTTTATTTCATAATTATTAATTTTCATAAAAATCCTGCAAGGTATTGGTTTCTTTTCAGAAATTATTTATCAAAGCTATAACCACTGTAAAAAACAGTTTCCAACACAGTTTTTGGCAGTGGTACGGGGATCCTTAATGACGATGGATTAATCTGATTATAGGTAAGGATTTTAAGATGATATTATGAAAGTGATGGTTATTTGCCATGAATTTAAGGATACATGTAAGCATTGAACTGCTTTCTGTCGGTATCATAGTCCAATGAAAGCCAACTAGAACGTGACAAATCAAAAATGACTCGCGCTTTATGCTGAATATTTCATGTTCCGTTTGCCGTTTATCTTTACCATGAATGCCAACTGAAAGCTGTTCTATCCTCATATTCCATTTTTAAAGCATTTTCAAATATTTTTTCACTCAAAATTAAGCATTAAACTTGAATAGGGGCATGTTTCGCGCATACTTGTTTAATGAAAAGAAGGGAAGCTATACCGCATGATGTGCCGCCTGTAACAATTTTTGAGCATTTTCATGCAGGAGACCTGGGCCCGTATTCATGAAACCGTTCTCAAGCTCAAGCATGGATTCTGTGCTCAAACTAACATTTTTATAACTCATTTAAATCATGTCAAACAATCAAAAAGTCAAATGTAAATATTGAAAACAGTATTCTTCAATTTCCCCCCAAATTATTGACAAAATATGTTTTTTTTATTGATTTATAACGGGAACAAGAAATTCGGCTTGAGCACAAAATCCTTGCTTAAGCATGAGAACGGTTTCATGAATACGGGCCCTGGTTTAATATGCCTTTTTTAAAATTGTTTACATTACTGTTTTGAAAATAATAAAACAATTGTGGCCGTTAACTATGGTCGATACCTGGATTTATCGACCCGAAAAAAGATGCATTGTGCTCGGTTAATATATCTTTTCTCGGGTCGATAAATAGTCCTTGGTCAATATATCTTTTCTTTGGTCGATAAATCCAGGTATCGACCGAAGCAAAAGGCTATGATTAAATAATATATAACCTCATTACCTAGCTTTGTTGCCGAATCCGCAGATGTTGGAATTTACCGTGATTTTATTAGATATGGCTCCCAGACGGTACCTTCAAAGCTATGATCATATTCGTACACTTTCTGAAAGTATGTATTTACCAATGATACTTAGACATGTCCCTAGGATCATGACACGATCATAGGCCTAAGTCTAAAATTGCCTTTAGTCTTGACTTTACCAACCACAGACAATGCCATCAAAAGAGACGTCATACGTGATTGGCTAAGCAAAAACTTAAGTTTAAGTTTGTTTCATGACCCCGGGGTCTGAATACACAAAGGCGATACATCCATCACCATAGAATTTTGATAAAAAAAAAAAAAATACAATACAACCTTGCGATGGCCAGTATAAAATTGTGAATATTTTGAAGAGAAAAAATCCTCGATAGATTTTAACCCGAGGGGTCTTTCGTGCTGATATGGAGATCTCGTCAGGGTAAGAAAGGGAAAATATCATACGATAACCTTTTCTTCATATATTTCTCGTATACAGTCATGTTTATCTGTTAATTTGCTGTTTTGTTATTTACACCAGAACAGGACTGCAGAAATAGAAGATGGTGTTACCGCTGCTACGTGTCCTTGGCGGACTGACCACTGTCTTGACCACGTTACAACTTCTGCTTCTCTGTACATCGACAGGTATAAGATTCACCATCGGTCATTCTCGATTTTTAAGGCGTTTGTTATGGTTACAACCTCCTGGCACTCTAATCACATGTTCAATTTCAAGTTCTTTATTTAGCCTTGAGCAGTAGGTTCATCAGCTATTCAATTAAATGCTTAACACAGATATTGCGGTATACAAAGGCATTCGTATACCGCAATATCAATTGAAGACGTCTTCACCACTCGACCACAGCAGCCCCCCGATTAGATAAGTATTTAAGTATAGGGTAGGATATCACCTAAGTCTAGAACAAATCACCGGTACATGTGTAGGGTAGGATATCACCTTAAGTCTAAAACAAATCACAGGTGTATGTGTAGGGTAGGATATCACCTTAAGTCTGAAACACATCTCAAATATATGTGTAGGGTAGGGTATCTTAAGTCTAAAACACATCTCAGGTATATGTATAGGGAAGAATATCACCTTAAGTCTAAAACACATCACGGGGATATGTGTAGGGTAGGATATCACCTTAAGTCTTAAACAAATCACGGGTATATGAGTAGGGTAGGATATCACCTTAAGTCTTAAACAAATCACAGGTGTATGTGTAGGGTAGGATATCACCTTAAGTCTAAAACAAATCACAGGTGTATGTGTAGGGGAGGATATCACCTTAAGTCTGAAACACATCTCAAATATATGTGTAGGGTAGGGGATCTTAAGTCTAAAACACATCTCAGGTATATGTATAGGGAAGAATATCACCTTAAGTCTAAAACACATCACGGGTATATGTGTAGGGTAGGATATCACCTTAAGTCTTAAACAAATCTCAGGTACATGTGTAGGGTAGGATATCACCTTAAGACTAAAACAGATCACTGGTATATGTGAAGGGTAGGATATCACCTTCAGTCTAAAACAGATCACGGGTATATGTGTAGGGTAGGATATCACCTTCAGTCTAAAACAGATCACGGGTATATGTGTAGGGTAGGATATCACCTTAAGTCTAAAACAAATCTCAGGTATATGTGTAGGGTAGGATATCACCTTAAGTCTTAAACAAATCACGGGTATATGTGTAGGGTAGGATATCAACTGAAGTCTAAAACAGATATCAGGTACATGTGTAGAGTAGGATATCACCTTAAGTCTGAAACACATCTCGGGTATATGTGTAGATAGTATATCACCTTCAGTCTAAAACAAATCACTGGTATATGTGTAGGGTAGGATATCTTCTTAGGTTAAAACAAATCACCGGTATATGTGTAGGGTAGGATATCACCTAAGTCTAAAACAAATCACCGGTATATGTGTAGAAAAGGATATCACCTAAGTCTAAAACAGATCTCAGGTACATGTGTAGGGTAGGAGATCACCTTAGGTCTAAAACAAATTACGGGTATATGTGTAGGGTAGGATATCAACTGAAGTCTAAAACAGATATCAGGTACATGTGTAGGGTAGGAGATCACCTTAGGTCTAAAAAAAATCACGGGTATATGTGTAGGGTAGGATATCAACTGAAGTCTAAAACAGATATCAGGTACATGTGTAGAGTAGGATATCACCTTAAGTCTGAAACACATCTCGGGTATATGTGTAGATAGTATATCACCTTCAGTCTAAAACAAATCACGGGTATATGTGTAGGGTAGGATATCTTCTTAGGCTAAAACAAATCACCGGTATATGTGTAGGGTAGGATATCACCTAAGTCTAAAACAAATCACCGGTATATGTGTAGGGTAGGATATCTTCTAAGGCTAAAACAAATCAAAGGTATATGTGTAGGATGGTATATCACATTAAGTCTAAAACAGATCTCAGATATATGTGTAGGGTAGAATATCACCTTCAGTCTAAAACAAATCACAGGTATATTTATAGGGTAGGATATCACCTTAAGTCTAAATCAAATCACAGGAATGTGTGTAGGGTAGGATATCATCTTAAGTCTTAAACAAATCACGGGTTTTTGTGAAGGGTAGGATATCACCTTAGTTTAAAACAAATCACAGGTATATGTGTAGGATAGTATATCACCTTAAGTCTAAAACAAATCACAGGTATATGGTGTAGGGTAGGATATCACCTTCAGTCTAAAACAAATCTCAGGTATATGTGTAGGGTAGGATATCACCTTCAGTCTAAAACAGATCACGGGTATATGTGTAGGGTAGGATATCACCTTAAGTCTTAAACAAATCACGGGTATATGTGTAGGATAGTATATCACCTTAAGTCTAAAACAAATCACAGGTATATGGTGAAGGGTAGGATATCACCTTCAGTCTAAAGGGTATATGTGTAGGATAGTATATCACCTTAAGTCTAAAACAAATCACAGGTATATGGTGAAGGGTAGGATATCACCTTCAGTCTAAAGGGTATATGTGTAGGATAGTATATCACCTTAAGTCTAAAACAAATCACGGGTATATATGTAGGGTAGGATATCACCTTAACTCTTAAACAAATCACGGGTATATGTGTAGGATAGTATATCACCTTAACTCTAAAACAAATCACGGGTATATATGTAGGGTAGGATATCTTCTCAGGCTAAGACAAATCACCGGTATATGTGTAGGGTAGGATATCTTCTAAGGCTAAAACAAATCAAAGGTATATGTGTGAATAGTATATCACCTTAAGTCTAAAACAAATCACGTGTATATGTGTAGGGTAGGATATCCCCTTCAGTCTAAAACAGATCTCCGGTATATGTGTAGGGTAGGAGATCACATTAAGTCTGAAACAAATCACGGGTATATGTCTAGGGTAGGATATCACCTTAAGTCTAAAACAAATCTCAGGTATATGTGTAGGGTAGGATATCACCTTCAGTCTAAAACAAATCACGGGTATATGTAGGATATCACCTTAACTCTTAAACAAATCACGGGTATATGTGTAGGGAAGGATATCACCTTCAGTCTAAAACAAATCACCGGTATATGTGTAGAGAAGGATATCACCTAAGTCTAAAACAAATCACAGGTACATGTGTAACAAATCACAGATATATGGTGTAGGGTAGGATATCACCTTAAGTCTGAAACAAGTCACGGGTATATGTGTAGGGTAGGATATCACATTAAGTCTAAAACAAATCACGGGTATATGTAGGATATCACCTTAACTCTTAAACAAATCAAGGGTATATGTGTAGGATAGTATATCACCTTAAGTCTAAAACAAATCACGTGTATATGTGTAGGGTAGGATATCCCCTTAAGTCTGAAACAAATCACGGGTATATGTGTAGGGAAGGATATCACCTTCAGTCTAAAACAGATCTCCGGTATATGTGTAGGGTAGGATATCACCTTCAGACTAAAACAGATCACTGGTATATGTGAAGGGTAGGAGATCACCTTAGGTCTAAAACAAATCACGGGAATATGTGTAGGGTAGGATATCAACTTAAGTCTAAAACAGATATCAGGTACATGTGTAGGGTAGGAGATCACCTTAGGTCTAAAACAAATCACGGGTATATGTGTAGGGAAGGGTATCACCTTCAGTCTAAAACAGATCTCCGGTATATGTGTAGGGTAGGATATCACCTTCAGACTAAAACAGATCACTGGTATATGTGAAGGGTAGGAGATCACCTTAGGTCTAAAACAAATCACGGGTATATGTGTAGGGTAGGATATCACATTAAGTCTAAAACAAATCACGGGTATATGTGTAGGGTAGGATATCACATTAAGTCTAAAACAAATCACGGGTATATGTAGGATATCACCTTAACTCTTAAACAAATCACGTGTATATGTGTAGGATAGTATATCACCTTAAGTCTAAAACAGATCTCAGATATATGTGTAGGGTAGGATATCATCTTAAGTCTTAAACAAATCACGGGTTTTTGTGAAGGGTAGGATATCACCTTCGTTTAAAACAAATCACAGATATATGGTGTAGGGTAGGATATCACCTTAAGTCTGAAACAAATCACGGGTATATGTCTAGGGTAGGATATCACCTTAAGTCTAAAACAAATCACGGGTATATGTGTAAGATAGTATATCACCTTAGTCTAAAACAGATCTCAGGTACTTGTGTAGGGTAGGATATCACCTTAAGTCTAAAACAAATCACGGGTATATGTGTAGGGAAGGATATCACCTTCAGTCTAAAACAGATCTCAGGTACATGTGTAGGGTAGGATATCACCTTAAGTCTTAAACAAATCACGGTTTTTGTGTAGAGAAGGATATCACCTTCAGTCTAAAACAAATCACGGGTATATGTGTAGGGAAGGATATCACCTTCAGTCTAAAACAGATCTCAGTTATATGTGTAGGGTAGGGTATCTTAAGTCTAAAACAGATCTCAGGTACATGTATAGGGTAGGATATCACCTAAGTCTAAAACAAATCACCGGTATATGTGTAGGGTAGGATATCTTCTAAGGCTAAAACAAATCAAAGGTATATTTATAGGGTAGGATATCACCTTAAGTCTAAATCAAATCACAGGAATATGTGAAGGGAAGAATATCAACTTAAAACTGAAACAACGGGTATATGAGTAGGGTAAGATATCACCTAAGTCTAAAACAAATCACCGGTATATGTGTAGGGTAGAATATCACCTTAAGTCTAAAACAAATCACAGGTATATGTGTAGGGTAGAATATCACCTTAAGTCTAAGACAAATCACCGGTATATGTGTAGGGTAGAATATCACCTTAAGTCTAAAACAAATCACGGGTATATGTGTAGGGTAGGATATCACCTAAGTCTAAAACAAATCACCGGTACATGTGTAGGGTAGAATATCACCTTAAGTCTAAAACAAATCACAGGTATATTTATAGGGTAGGATATCACCTTAAGTCTAAATCAAATCACAGGAATATGTGTAGGGTAGGATATCATCTTAAGTCTTAAACAAATCACGGGTTTTTGTGAAGGGTAGGATATCATCTTAGTTTAAAACAAATCACAGGTATATGGTGTAGGGTAGGATATCACCTTAAGTCTTAAACAAATCACGGGGTATATGTGTAGGGTAGGAGGTCACCTTAAAACTGAAATAAATCACCGGTATATGTTTAGATAGTATATCACCTTAAGTCTAAAACAAATCACGTGTATATGTGTAGGGTAGGATATCACCTTAAGTCTTAAACAAATCACCGGTATATGCGTAGATAGGATATCACCTTAAGTCTAAAACAAATCACCGGTATATGCGTAGATAGTTTATCACCTTAAGTCTAAAACAAATCACGGGTATATGTGTAGGGTAGGATATCACCTTCAGTCTGAAACAAATCACCGGTATATGTGTAGATAGGATATCACCTTAAGTCTAAAACAAATCACCGGTATATGCGTAGATAGGATATCACCTTCAGTCTAAAACAAATCACCGGTATATGTGTAGATAGGATATCACCTTAAGTCTAAAACAAATCACGGGTATATGTGTAGGGAAGGATATCACCTAAGTCTAAAACAAATCACGGGGATATGTGTAGGGAAGGATATCACCTAAGTCTAAAACAGATCTCAGGTGTATGTGTAGGGAAGGATATCACCTAAGTCTAAAACAGATCTCAGGTACATGTGTAGGGTAGGATATCACCTTAAGTCTAAAACAAATCTCAGGTATATGTGTAGGGTAGGATATCACCTTCAGTCTAAAACAGATCTCCGGTATATGTTTAGGGTAGGAGATCACCTTAAGTCTGAAACAAATCATGGGTATATGTGTAGGGTAGGATATCACCTTAAGTCTAAAACAAATCTCAGGTATATGTGTAGGGTAGGATATCACCTTCAGTCTGAAACAAATCACCGGTATATGTGTAGATAGGATATCACCTTCAGTCTAAAACAAATCACCGGTATAGGATATCAACTGAAGTCTAAAACAGATATCAGGTACATGTGTAGGGTAGGATATCACCTTAAGTCTAAAACAAATCACCGGTATATGTGTAGGGAAGGATATCACCTAAGTCTAAAACAAATCACGGGTATATGTGTAGGGAAGGATATCACCTAAGTCTAAAACAAATCACGGGGATATGTGTAGGGTAGGATATCACCTTCAGTCTAAAACAGAGCTCCGGTATATGTGTAGGGTAGGAGATCACCTTAAGTCTGAAACAAATCACGGGTATATCTGTAGGGTAGGATATCACCTTAAGTCTAAAACAAATCACCGGTATGTGTGTAGAGAAGGATATCACCTTAAGTCTAAAACAAATCACAGGTATATTTATAGGGTAGGATATCACCTTAAGTCTTAAACAAATCACGGGTTTTTTTGAAGGGTAGGATATCATCTTAGTTTAAAACAAATCACAGGTAAATTGTGTAGGGTAGGATATCACCTTAAGTCTTAAACAAATCATGGGGTATATGTGTAGGGTAGGAGGTCACCTTAAGTCTAAACCAAATCACCGGTTTTGTGTAGGGTAGGATATCACCTTAAAACTGAAATAAATCACCGGTATATGTGTAGATAGTATATCACCTTAAGTCTAAAACAAATCACGTGTATATGTGTAGGGTAGGATATCACCTTCAGTTTAAAACAAATCACCGGTATATGTGTAGATAGTATATCACCTTAAGTCTAAAACAAATCACGGGTATATGTGTAGATAGGATATCACCTTCAGTCTAAAACAAATCACCGGTATGTGTGTAGAGAAGGATATCACCTAAGTCTAAAACAAATCACCGGTATATGTGTAGAAAAGGATATCACCTAAGTCTAAAACAGATCTCAGGTGTATGTGTAGGGAAGGATATCACCTAAGTCTAAAACAGATCTCAGGTACATGTGTAGGGTAGGATATCACCTTAAGTCTAAAACAAATCACGGGTATATGTGTAGGGTAGGATATCACCTAAGTCTAAAACAAATCACCGGTATATGTGTAGAGAAGGATATCACCTAAGTCTAAAACAAATCACAGGTATATGGTGTAGGGTAGGATAACACCTTAAGTCTAAAACAAATCTCAGGTATATGTGTAGGGTAGGATATCACCTTCAGTCTAAAACAGATCTCCGGTATATGTGTAGGGTAGGAGATCACCTTAAGTCTGAAACAAATCACGGGTATATGTGTAGGGTAGGATATCACCTTAAGTCTAAAACAAATCAC